TGCAGTATTTTTTGTTTGTTTGTTTTTGTGGGGGTGGGACCCTCCGAGCCTGATCACCTGGCTCCCTGCTTCAGACCCTTTTTTTTTTTTAAGTTGAATGGTTGACTCTCTCCCAGGTGTTCCAGTCGCCTGCTGAAAGGGCGCCAGGATCTGTGTGATGTCCCATGTGGCGACCCACTGCGCCGGCTGAAACAACATCGCTGCCCGGGAATCTCCTGGCCTGGCTTTATGTTTAAGTCCCATTTAATCAGATGAATGTGCTAATCCATCTTCCCAGATCTTCAATTGCTGGTTTAACAGGGCAACCAGCCCAGTGTATTTTGTACGGAGTGCCGCTGTGCTGCAGCACTGGCTGAAACAGCCGTGCCAGCCGAAACAGCCGCACCGGCTGGTGACCCGTGGGGCTCCTACACCTGGGAATCTCCTGGTCTGTAGACAATAAAGATCTGTCTGGAAATGCGGCATCCACTCACCCTCTGTGCTTTCACTGGGAGCTGCAATCCTGAGTTGCTTCTACAGTGCCATCTCTACTCTTTCGCTCTTAATCCAAACCATCAATTACATTTGTCAGCTTTGCCTTCAACATGTACTCAGAACCTGATCCTTTCTTGTTTCCTTCATAGCTTATCACTCTGCTCTGAGGTACCATCGTCTCTCACTTGGATTACTATGGAATAGCTTCCTAATCAGTCTTCCTGCTTCATCTACTCTTGCCCTTCTACAGTGTACCCCACATAGTAGCCTGAGTAGTCTTTTTATAAAATAAGTCATATCATGTCATCCCTCTGCTCAAAATACTCCGCTGGTTTCCAGTCCCAGGTTAAAACCCAAATGTGTAGGTATGAGCTGAGAAGAGTGGGAAATAAATGAAACCCAAATGCCTGCACAATGGCCTCCCACTACATCTCTGATATGATCTTCTATCACCCTCCTCCTTGCTCATTTTGCTCTAACTACAGTGACACTCTTATAGTTCTTAAGTTATATCAAGCGCAGTGATGCCTCAGTCCTTTGCACTTGCTGTTCCTTCTTCCCTGAGACACTTTGTTCCTTAATTTCCTTCAGTGTTTCTTCAAATGTAAACTTATCAGATAGGCCTTCCCAGACAACCCTGTACAAAATAGCAAGGCTCCACCCCACCCCAGCCTCTGCCTTCCCTATTTCCCTTACCCTGATTTATTTTCTCCATAGAAAATATTTATTATTATTACCTGATATATATTTACTTAATTTTACTTTCTGCCTCTTCCTTCCACAAGAATACAAGTTCCATCAAGGCAGGAACTCTGTTTTGGTTTACTATTATATCTCCAAAGCCTAAATTATTACATGATATGTGTAATAGGTACTCAATAAATATTTGTGTAATAAATTAACTGATCTGTACTGACCTGTCCCCTAACCTCCTCATAATGAGAAACTTTTCTATCTTCGTATTTGTGGTCCTAGCCTCTAGACTGTGTTGTGAACACAGCAAGTATTCAAATAATGTTTGTTGTTAGTAGGATGCAATCACGACTCTGCAGATTTTCAGTTTGTGCCAGATCTTGGTATTATACTGGTATTTCATGCTCCTCTTCTAAGCTTCCGAAATTCTCTAGCCCATGACATGTGGCGCACTATAGGTGGTTAATCTGTAGGGCACACCACACAGGCCTGCTCTAATAGAGATTCTGTTCAGGTATTTTACAGTAAGTTTGCTTCACTGTGTTCTACCATCTTTCCCCCAGTTCATTCCTAATTCTAGTCAGTTTTGAAAAAGCATTTAGCTATAATCAGAAGCAATCATATGCATGAAAGAAAAACTCTCTATTGCCAGACAAGAATATGGTCTAACGCATACAGGTAAGTAATAATATCATTTAGGAAAGACAGCATATTATCATATAACATGAGTGTTTTTAAACATTAAAAAGCCTTTAGCACAATGAAAAAACTTTTGTGAACCTGGTAGCTAAAACAAGATAAATTACAATAGGCAAAGTTCCAAGAATGGAGATATTAAAAAAAAAAAAAATCAGGGCTGAGTGTGGTAGCTCATGTTTGTAATCCCAGAAGTCTGGGAGGCTAAGGTGGGCAGATCTCTTGAGCCCAGGAGTTCAAGACCAGCCTGGGCAACATAACAAAATCCCATCTCTACAAAAAATTCAAAAGATAGCCTAATGTCGTGGCATATGCCTATAATCCTAGCTACTCAGGAGACTGAGGTGGGAGGATTTCTTGAGCCTGGGAGGTCGAGGCTGCAGTGAGCCGTGACTGCAGCTGCATTCCAGCCTGGACAATAGAGTGAGACCTTGTCTCTTAAAAAAAAATAAAATAAAATAAAATATTATGCATATCTCTGGTTTTAGTTCTTAATCTAATACAGAATCAACAATACAAGATAAAAGGATAAAAGGAAAAGAGCCAGACAAAAATATAATTTCCACAGAGGACTACACAAGAATAGGCAAAGCCACTTTCCTGGGGCCAAGAGAACATGATCCCCTTTGATTGCCTATGGCTGCCTTCTGTCAATTCTAAAAGGGCTGGCAAGTTGGTATCAAGCAGTGAACATTACAGAAACAGCATAGTAAGAGGTAGATAATTCAGAAATCCCAGCAGCATAATTCAAATATAGGTTACTAGTATGACAACCTACCATCTTCACAAACCCAAGTCAGTTACAACTAATTTTTCCTCTCTCCCTTATCTCCCTCTGGTGCTATCCCATCCCTTTTCTTGGACCCATTATGTCAAGATTATACTATAAACTACTTCAACTAAGAACTATTCAATTAATTTTCCCATCCTCCAAATTTCCCTAGAAAATGATTTTTGAAGTTAATTTACATATAAAAAGAAAAAAGAAAAATAAATGCACTTCTGAGATCACTTCTAAGATTGTACTGAGGCTGCAACAACAGGTCGGAGAGTTTAAGCATGCTGCCTCACTCCAGCGCTTGCAGCTCTCCTAGCCCTACCTCAGTCTGCCTTGGTTTCTGTAACCTGGCTGTTCTGTGCAATCACTTGCACATCATAGGTGTGAAAACAGTGAGAGGGAAATCAACTCCACGACGATGGGGTACAGAAAGCATGAAGCATGATTCAGAGCCTCACAGTCAACTGGCATGTGTGAGTGTGTGTCATACTCACGGCAATATCCTACTTCTTGAGGCTCCTTCCTTTTTGCAGCCTACTGCCTGTGCTCTATGCTATCAGCCTTTCATGACTCAACTGAGACAGACTGGAGTCAGAAAAGTGGATGGAATTCTTACACAGCATTAAGTAGTCTTATAAGAAATCCTAGACGGAAGGAAGCTCAGGTAGTTCTCAGAACCAGGAAACTCCTTGACAACCCGGGACAACCAAATTCCAGCATTAAAAAAATTCCGTATTTTAAATCATCTCTTAATTTAATACTTCCTTCTTTATTGGCTTTATTGATTGCTGAGCATTCTAGGAACTAGGAGAGGATTACTTGGCCTGAAGGAAATAATACTTCTTGAACCTGATTTGTTCAAGATTTGATCTAGATTTGAATCTAGATCGCTTTAAAGTGAAGGAAGGGAGAAAGAGAGTTATCTCTTTCACAGGAGCACATTTCAATCACTTATCACTCTGGGTTAGCATAAATCAGATAAACTATCCTTTGGCTTGTGCAAAACACACACACACACACACACACAACTTTTAAAAAACAGAGCAAGATAACTGAAGTAGACAAACCCTGCACAGAAGTAACTAATGGTGGCAGGGAGGAGACAGATGATATTGGTACCTGTGTGTCATTAGAGCTGTTAGATTAAAAAAAAAAAAAAAAATGGATGCAGAAGCTCTGCCCTCCTGGCACCAGAAATGGCAATTTCGTGAACTAGGGCCAACAACCACATCCAAAACTAAACATTTCAAAAGCTTAACATATAAAAAAATACTAGGAAAATTAGGCAGAGCACCTATTTCATTTGTTAAAGACATTTAATTAGTGTTTTATACATTACCACACAAATGCATAAAGCGATTGAGAAATTCAAGAAAACAATCAAACTACAAGAAAACTCCAGATAAAACTATAAAGCTAAACATAAACTTGGCTCAGGACCACGACAGTGGCTGAGGGATGACAAGATACAGTTCTTTATATCGGTAATCCTTAGCCATCCATCCCATTCTATAGAAAGAAGACAGTACCATCTTTGACCCCTGTCCTGGGCTGCTTCTACTTAATGCCAAGAACAGCCATACTAGAGGGGAAAAAAAGAAAAACCAAAACACTGCACCCACCCCAGCTCCAAATGCACACATGAGCTGATCGGTGAGATGGAGCAGCCTGGCTTCCTCTGTCTACCCACTCCTTGGGGGCGGGGCTGGAAGAGAAGAAAATGATGAAGAGATGTTGGGGGTTCAGGAAACCTTCACATTCGACCCCTTTTCTCTCTCCCCACTCAGGATGGAAGATCAAAGGCAGACAGGACCAAAACTAGAGAAGTAGATTTTGCCTAGGGGGACAATGGACTCAACAAAACCTCTGGATCTGGCAACTGTCAAAAAAAAAAAAAAAAAAAACAAAAAAACAAAAAAAACCCTTTCCACTTCTGTCTCTCCTCACACAGCCATTAGGAATCACCTCTGTCTTGGTCATAGGACCAGACACCTAGCGTGTGAGGCACAAGCCCCATGAACAAAATTCAGGGTATTAAGAATAAGGGGAGAGAAAGAAGACCTGAGGGAAGGAGGGAAGGGCAGGAGGGCAGGGCAGGGCAGGGTCTCTTCCTTCTACTGGAGAGGAGAGAGACACCCAGGGAGGAGGCACAGCCGAGGGGAGCGCTAGAAAAGCCACGACGGAATCCCCACCGAGACCGCAGCAGGGGTGCTGGAAGGGGAGGAATCCGAGACCCAGCGAGAGTCAGCCAGGGACAGCGGCGGGCCGGGCCGTGACTCAGTGAAAGCCGCAGCGGCAGGGCCTCGGGAGACCGCGGGCGCGAAGCCGCCGGGGCCCGGGCCGGGGCCGGGGAGCTCACCGTGTCCTTGGACGAGCCCAGCTTCTTCAGGCCGTCCAGGGGCAGCAGGTCGGCGGAGTCCTTGTGGATAAACTGCACCGCCTGCTTCATCCGGCGCTGCTGTCGCAGCGACGCCGCCTCCCGCATGTCGGTCTCCTTGCGGCCACCCTCGGTGAGGAGCCCTGAGTAAAACATCGCTGAGGCGCCTGCGGCCCAGCGGCCGGGTCGCCCGCGGTTCCCCTGCAGCCTCAGCCTCGAGCTCCTTCAGCACCGCAAGGGCCGCGCGCCGCGCCTTTTATAGCCGAGCGTGACGGCGCGGGGAGCAGCCAGTGCGCGCGCGGGGGGCGGGGCCAGCACAGCATCCACGCCCCGCGCGGCTCCCGGACTTCCCCCGTACCCTGTTCAGGTCGGCGCTTCCCAGCCCACGGCAAAGAGAGCGAGGAGGGGGCGGCGCTGGCAGGACCAACCTGGAGGGCCGAGAGTCCAAAGCGGCCGCTTCGTCCAACCGCCTCCTCCCGCATAGAAGCCCCGCATCCCCTGGACGGCCGTGGGCTCTGGGGTCCGATGCCCTGGCAGCCCCGGCCACCTCCGCCTCTGGCCGCGGGTCCCTGCTCACCTGTCCACGCTGTGGCAGACCCGGGGATCACCGACAGCCGGGCCATGCCTCGATTCCCGCCGCCCGCGCCGCTGCTCGGCCTCTCAGAAGCACACCTGCACGCCGCCAGAAGGGGCTCCAGCGCCCACCGCCTGGGCCAGGAGGACTGGCGACTCCCTCCGAAGTTGGGAGTGCTCGGAATTTCTCCAACTTCAAGTCGGTCCCCACCCACCGGGCCACGTGACTGGGGAGGGGGCAGCCGCTGCGGGCGTGTGGAGGAGTCTGTCGGGACCTCCTAGCCCGAACACCCTCTGCCTGCAGCCCGGCACCTGGCCCGCGTTCCCGAGCCGGGGAAGCAGGTGCGGTTCCCTACACCTGCTCTCCGAACGGAAAAGCACCTTTATCAACAAGTGCTAGGGCTTACCGTCTGAAGGATCTTTCACCATCTCTCCAGCGTCCTTAGTAGGAGCAATTGGAACCCGTTTTTTTTCCCCTGAATAATCCATACTTTTAATCCATTCTAATCGGGTCTTCGGGCCTCCTGGATTCTGGTCTCGACGCTGTGATTTAATACAAACCACGTTTCCACTCTGGAAACCACAACTACCCTCTTCGCCCCATCACACAGGAGCAGACCTGGATAAGAAATATGTGCACTCTGCAAAGAACCATTGAGAAAAGTAACAATATCGATGCTTACTGAGCCTTCACTATGTGCCAGGTACTGAAATAAACACTTAAAATGCAGTGTCTCATTGAATCCTGGCAACAGCTTGTAAGATAGTATTCTCATTACCCCCATTTTACAGGCAAATACCCGATACCTTCTGTCTGGCCTCCTGAATGCTCCTGGTTCCATTCCAATCCGGTGTTCACTGTGCTGCTGGAGTAATTTTCTCAAACGACAACTGTGATCGTCTCACTTCCCTGCTAAGAGTACCTCAAAAGGCTTCCTACTGCTCTTAGGAGAAACCCACATTTTTGCATGGTCTGCCTAGACCCTGTGTATCCACTCTGCACTTCAGCCTCAAGCCTTCTTCCAGTTCCTTTCAGTCACCTTTGCCAAATGACCTGCCTTTGACTGTCCTGTTCCTTCTGCGTGTAGTGCCCCCTCCTACCCTCTTCAGGAAACTCCTATGCTTCGTCCAGATCTCAGCTCCATTATCATTTCTTTAGGAAAGCTTTCTCTGACCTTCCAGAGAGCGTGAAGTCTCTCTAATTATATATTATGTCTCATGGATTGCACTTTCTGTGGGGGTGGAGATAGGGAGGTACTGGTTGGTTGATTAATATTTGTCTCCCCCACTGATTGGAACCTCCAGGAAGGTGACTGAATCAATTTTTCTGCTTAGCATTGATGCCCTAATATGAGGGCTCTCAATAAATACTAGTAGAAGGATGGCAAAAGGTTAAGGTCATACCAAAGAAATCAAGTGGTAGAGCTGGCATCTACTCCCAGAACCTGTGCTGGGCATCCTAGACCTGGAGAGACTGGGTTTGACCTCATGAAGTTTCTTTTCCTCTGTTCTGCCTTCAACACTTGCCCCAGTTTCAAAGAACACAGACTGTCGGAAAACAAATACAGAAGGTTGCTCACTTGGCTTCAAGGAAGCCCCAGGGCTGGATTCCTCCCTGTGTGCCCACCCTGTACTCTCCCCTACACACACAAGACAGGGTCTCTAGGAGGCAGGTGGGATTACCGCTCACCTTCCAGTCCCCTGGCACACTTTCACCAGTGAACAACAGTGGCTCTTCTGGCCCCTTCTGTTCTGTCACCTGGATCCCTGCCTGATCACTCCTCCAGGTGCGGGTCACCCAGGGAACAGTGAAAGACAGCTTTGCCTTGTCTATCTAGGACAGGTGCCTCTGAGCTTGGCAAAGCATCAGGATAGGTCCAACAGTGAGGGCCCCTAGGGAAAGAAGCCAGGCAGGTAGACACTCTTGAGGGGGAGTTGGAATCCTCACTCTCCAGGCCACTCAGTTTAGTCCTACAGCCTTTTTGGCTGAGGATGTCCTGACAAAAGAAAGGGGCTCTTTTCACAGCTGGATCCTCCTGGGAACACCAGGAAGCTGAATCTCTCTAGTTTAACTGGAATTTAGCCATATCAAGTGTTGCTGAAAAATAAATGGGGCCTGGCTGGAACTGGGAATGTTTTTGTGAATTCAGAGCTCTTTGCTGTAGTGGGATTTGTGTTCTGTAGTTGGGTCTGTGGCTGCAGTACCTATTGGTCCCCTCACCTGTCTGAGACCGTCCTTGAACAGACTGATACCATCACTGCCCTCAAGCATGGTTCAGTGTAGTGAGGCCAGCTCCTCCCTTCCCCCACATACTATGAGTATCCGCAGACTAGACTGCTTAATTTAAGGAGAGTTATCTCTGAGTGGTTATTCCTGTTTGCACAAATGACTGAGTAGGTAGGTCACTTCCTACCTCTAAGTCTCAGTTTCCATATCTGTAAAATGGATGTAGTGAGATTGCATATACAATTGTGCTTGTAAACTCTCTAGGGCCACACCAACAGAAAAGATTATTATTCTCCACATAGCCAACCAACCTCCCCTGCCTCATTGACCCATCTTGGAGGAAGTAACATACAACATAGTTATTAAAAACACAGGTGTTGGAATCTAATACACTACTTTTGAATCCCTGCTCTGCTGCTTACTAGCTATGTGACTGGTTACCTCACCATTGTGAGCTTTCAGTTCTTCATCTAGAAAATTGTGCCAATATCTCTATTTCTCAGGGCTGCTGTGAGAAATAAAAAGATAGATAGTATAATACATTGGCCATGTAGCATAGGCTCAGCAGAAGGTAGCAACCATCATTACCTGGAACAACTTCAGGAAAAACTAGGTTGCAGGACCCTCAGATTGGGGCTGGACTATCCTTTCTCCAGCCTTCCCTACAGAGTTTCAGACACAAAGCCAGACCTGAGAATCTTACCTTATCCCTAGAGTGGAGGCCTGAGACAGGGGCTGGCCAGCTCTCTTCCTCTCCAGTGTCTCCAGATTCTGGATTTTCCATGTCCAATGGCTCTATCCTAAAGTTCTCTGCATCCTCCCTTGGCTGTTAGAGAAGATGTGTAATTGAAAATCATACTAGAAAATCCAGTGCTGTTTCAAGTTAGAATGGTATTCATGTTATTCGTCGTATAAGTGACAGAAGCCCAGCTGAAAATTCCTTATGTGAAAATGCAAATTTTTGGTCCCCTTAATTAAAAAGTACAGGGGCTTCAGGCATGGCTGGATCCAAAGGCTCAAATGGCATTATTACTGTGTTTCAGCTCTGCTCTCCTCTGAGCTGAAGCCCCTGTAGGCAGACCCTTCCTGTCTGATGTCTATTTGCAGCTCTAGGCTTACAACCTATTCTCCCAGCAACCCTCTTTTGGGTCTTCAGCTAATAGAGAGGACATTAAGAATGAGAAACAGGATGAGTACTGAGGTGGGAGACCCAAAAAGTAGAGGAGGAGAGCAGAGGATAAAGGGGAGACTGCCAAGAAATTTTCCTCCCCATTCCCTTCCTACCCATGCATATTGCCCTTGGCCATACCCTGAAGTTAGAATGGCCACTCCTAGGACCCTCTTCAGGTACCACCCCATCCTTATAGCTGTAGGATCCCTTTCCCCCTCAGATGTCCTCACCACTACCCCAACTCCCTTTGGCAGGAAGATTCTTCAAAAAGCTATCCAGATGTGTGCCAAGATCTCTGGCTACATGATACCCCTGACTTGGCACCCAGCCCTCAAGACTGTGTCTGCTTTGGCAGGTTAAAGCAAAAATAAGAGAGATTTCTGTCCTGTTCCTTCAGAGTGATTGCCAGCATCACCACAGCCTCAAGAAACAGGGCTGATGGCAGCCCTGCTGGTGTTTTCCAAAGGTGTCTTGGTCATTTGGATCCATTCCAGTCAGCAATGATTTGCTTTCATTTCCTGGGATAAGAACAGGCTTTGACCTCAAATTAGACAGCAAAACAGGAGAAACAACGGAAAGAAAAGAGAAACTCAGTATCTGAAAGAAGTGTGTCTGGTGGAAGTTGGGAAGTGGGCAGTCTAGGCTTGGCTTTGAATCTGGTTCCACCCCTTGCTTGCTGTGAGACCTTGGCCAAATTACTGAAACTCTCTGAGCCTGTTTACCCATCTTGCAGGGCTCTGTCTCATCTGAGTGAAATAACATATAAAGCCTGGCACAAAGTGGGCTCTCAATAAGTATGTCCTGTTTCTCTTTCGTTCCCCTTTCCAACATAGGTAGAGAACCCAGAAAAAGAGTGACCCTTCTAAGCCCAGTGGGAAATTCTTCATATGAAAACAAGAACTCTGAAGTTGGCAAGTCTCTCAGATACAGCAAAGCGTAGGCCTAACCCACCTGCTCCATATCTCTTTATGTCAGCCTCAGCCAGAGGGGACAATGCCCGCAGAGTGGCTCACACTGATAAGTAACCTCTGTCTACCTCAGGAGCACCGAGGGCTCTACCTCCTTCCCCCTAGGTAACTAAGCATGTTGCTTGGATGTGATGGTGTGCATGCTGGACAAGCCACAGGGCCTGGGGGCAATGGCAGCAGAGCGGTGAAGTGCCCTATAGAACATGTGTAGACTCCCAGGTATGCAAACATGTGCACATGCTCATGCACATAGTGTTTACAATCACCAGTTTTCGCACTGCTCTACACTGCCCAAAGAGATAAGTCATTCATGATTATTTAAAAACTTTTAATTTGGAAAAAAATTGAAACTTACAAAAAGTTGTGAACATAAAAATAACAGAAATAACACCTGTATATCCTTTTCACAGATTAC